TATATTCATATGTAGTCGTTATCAAACAAAACTTGAAAAGTTAGGAAAAAAAAACACGTACCTATATAGTAGAAGTTACATAGATGAGTAATAATATTAGATCTTACGACTTTTATATCAGACACAAAATGCTATATTATTCATGTAAGAAAGAAATATTTGGTAAGTTACAATTTTTAGAATATAATGGTCTATTTGGTTCGTGAGTTTAAGTCAATAATTTTAATTTTAAATTTAAATTTTATGAGAAAATCAATCTATTAGTGAGAGCTTTTTTTATTTAAATTTTTTGTGAAAAAACAAAATCAGTATCACGAGTTTAAGTTATTAAACGAAAGGGGTCCTAAATATATGTTTGAAGAACAATTTCCATTAATATAAGAGCGACAACTTGTTTGCATATTGGCTATTGGTATTAGGTAACAGGAAACTTGAGTATTATTTTTGACACAAAGTAGGTTCAATTCTGTTATTTAATATGTGGAGCTATACTAATTATTATCTTTACTAAAATCACAAAAAGAATAAAACTCATTTATGAAATTAATTTTACAAGAGGTGCCACGTGGACGGATGTCGTGGACCGAGGGTGACCAACTATCCACCATGACCACAATTTTAGAGAGACAGCTCCTTATCAGGAGAAACCACCAAAAATGTCCTTTTGGGGGCCCACTTCTGTCCGCAACTTATCTAGTCACCATTATCAGCCACTCGTCCCTAAAACCTTAATTTACTAATCCACCCTCCTCTCTTCATATAAATTACTTTTGCTATTAATTTCTAGTAACAATTTAAGAATGTTTACGGTGGAGCAACTTATTTTGCTCCGATAATTATTTTTAATTGTTAAATTAATTTTTAATAGTTAGATTTATATAGATATATATATTAAATATTTATAGCGTGCTACATAAAATTATTTTTATTATAAATTTGACCGTTGAAAAATTAATTTAACGAAAAAATAGAGCAAAATATGTTACTCCATTGTAAAAACTCCCAACAATTTTAATATGTCTTGAGAAATTTTCTACTAGAACATGAAAAAATCTGCCGGTAAAAGCGTAGAAATTTATTTTGGATGCTTAGATCTAAATCAAATTTTGTACGATTATATATATATATATTATTTTGATGAGATTTTATATTAAAAAACACACTGTTAGTAGAGATATACCTTACCATAAAAAACACCTTAATATTTTCCTTCATTGTCATTTCTTATATTGGTTGATGAGCGTCAAATTAAAAAAAAAAAAAAAAAGAAGCAGGATTTAGACCTTAAAGAGAGGATAGACATCATCACTTTGGAAGAACTTGGCAACATAATATGAACGGTTCCTCTCCTGATAATGGCTTCATATTTTCATTATATTAGATTACGCTGTTTATATTTATATGATAAGCACCTAATGAATTTGCATTTATTTAAGGAATCTTTACCATTAATGACATCTATCACATTCATTTGCTAACTAGAAGGAAAATAATGAATTCAATATATTAGCTTGATCAGGAGTAACATTAATGAAATATTCCACACATGTTTTTTTCCTTAAAAAAAAAAAGAAAAAAAAATATGGTATTTGAAAAAAAAAAAAAAAAAAAAAAAAAAAAAAAAAAAAAAAACCCCTTGGGTATGGATTCAATTAATTTTTTATTACTTTTATTAAACTGTGTGATGGAAATTGAGCATTTAGTTAATATTAATTATATATAAAGTCTTCTGCTTGATATTCAATTATATATATATATATCCAAATATGTATATATATATGTGTGTGTGTGTGTGAATATATAGTCCACCAATCAAAGAGTAGTGCACTATAAGCTAAATATATACAGCATTAGTCCTTGTGTGCGGATTGTACATCCAAGGACCAAAGTAGAGCTGAGAATGACATCGTCAACGATTGATCAAGAGGGCATTATTGGCTTGAAATAATCACTGCTAGTAGTGCTGTACAGAAAGCAGTACTGACTCTAATACTGATCAAATGTGCATCCATCAGCATTCAATAGTGGAGCTATATATAAATATATATATATATATGTACATTATTTTTCATTGTCTTTTAGTTAAGCATATTCTCAAGGTAATCTTCGTACAGAAATCATATATTTCGTTACTCCATTGTAAAAACTCCCAACAATTTTAATATGTCTTGAGAAATTTTCTACTAGAACATGAAAAAATCTGCCGGTAAAAGCGTAGAAATTTATTTTGGATGCTTAGATCTAAATCAAATTTTGTACGATTATATATATATATATTATTTTGATGAGATTTTATATTAAAAAACACACTGTTAGTAGAGATATACCTTACCATAAAAAACACCTTAATATTTTCCTTCATTGTCATTTCTTATATTGGTTGATGAGCGTCAAATTAAAAAAAAAAAAAAAGAAGCAGGATTTAGACCTTAAAGAGAGGATAGACATCATCACTTTGGAAGAACTTGGCAAAATAATATGAACGGTTCCTCTCCTCATAATGGCTTCATATTTTCATTATATTAGATTACACTGTTTATATTTATATGATAAGCACCTAATGAATTTGCATTTATTTAAGGAATCTTTACCATTAATGACATCTATCACATTCATTTGCTAACTAGAAGGAAAATAATGAATTCAATATATTAGCTTGATCAGGAGTAACATTAATGAAATATTCCACACATGTTTTTTTCCTTAAAAAAAAAGAAAAAAAATATGGTATTTGAAAAAAAAAAAAAAAAAAAAAAAAAAAAAAAAAAAAAAAAAAACCATTTGGAAAAGGGGTTTAAATCAGCCATTGGTATAGTGGATTCAATTAATTTTTTATTACTTTTATTAAACTGTGTGATGGAAATTGAGCATTTAGTTAATATTAATTATATATAAAGTCTTCTGCTTGATATTCAATTATATATATATATATCCAAATATGTATATATATATGTGTGTGTGTGTGTGAATATATAGTCCACCAATCAAAGAGTAGTGCACTATAAGCTAAATATATACAGCATTAGTCCTTGTGTGCGGATTGTACATCCAAGGACCAAAGTAGAGCTGAGAATGACATCGTCAACGATTGATCAAGAGGGCATTATTGGCTTGAAATAATCACTGCTAGTAGTGCTGTACAGAAAGTAGTACTGACTCTAATACTGATCAAATGTGCATCCATCAGCATTCAATAGTGGAGCTATATATATATATATATATATGTACATTATTTTTCATTGTCTTTTAGTTAAGCATATTCTCAAGGTAATCTTCGTACAGAAATCATATATTTCTCCACTTACTTGTGTCTCAACATAAGTATTGCACCCAACAAAAAGATGTAGAAAAGTACAGACCTTGATGGACACACGCACGTAATCACACACGCCTCAAGTAGCTATACGTATGTATGATTCTAATAAAAACTTAAGCGGTATGTTAAATTATGCGGTTCTAATAAATCGTCCTTGTGACGATTGTATAACGTCTTTGATTTATACGGATTATTCTTCCTCTGATGTCATCAACCATTCAAACAATGACACGTAAGGATAAATCATAGAGAAAAAGAAAAATGAACACACGCGTTTTTGGAGAAAAACTCCAAGAACTTGGTGCAATTCCCTGCGAGAAGGGTAATCTAAGATGAAGGCAACACCTCATATTGTTTTCAGACATTTGTGTATTGCAAGGCCGGGCCAGACCCTGATCTGATATAGCAAACAAAAATTCAAGTTTTGGAGAGCTGAGTCACATTACAAACTTAGCTTCATATATATATGGACTTCTACTACTACTACTACTACTTTCCACATAATTAGGTGGCACATCAAAGTCACTGATTAATACTATCTTCTAATGAAGCTAAACATCATTTATTGTCAAAAGTTCTGAGCTCGTCGAATAGTATTCATACAAAACTAACAAACAACAAAAATGTCCCAAATTCCCCACCAAAACCTGCAGGAATGGAATTCCTTAGAAAAAAATGCGGACAATGGACTGTCCAGACACGTGTGCGGCAGGGATGGACTGACCTTGATTAGCATGATTGATGACAATTGCATCATTTATATATCAAATCTCATTAATAGTATGTTTGATTCAACCGTAGAAATTGTCAGTTTGATTATGGAATATGAGCAATGCTAAGCAGCCCAACTTAGGGGTGTCGTGAAGGTGACATACCCCGATAACTTCGAGAATACACGATTTCGTATATGGCTTATGGAAAAGTGATATATAAACCCTAACTATTGCGGTGGGATTAAAAGCTCATAATCGTGTCGAAGATCAGAACGATAATCCTTATTTCCCCCATCTAGGTCACTACCTAGGTGGTTCACATTGCTTATGGTTTTTCATATAAGAGGAAGCACCTCTTGACAATAAAATATTTGTACTTCCAAGGAAATGAGTTATTAGGTTAATTAATAGAATATAATTATTAATTATATATAATTTGTTATTCAAAAAATGAAAATTCACATGTCATACTACTAGTAGGAGATATGAAAATTTTGATAAACCCGATAAATTTTAAATTTTTTTAATGTTGTAACACTTATGGGTTGGTGTAGCGGTAAAGATGTATTTTTTTCTTCTCCTCCTAAGATGTTTGGAAATTCAAATCTTAACAGCCCCAATATAAAATGATTTGCCTGGAACTAAGCTCTTCCTTCGAGTAGAAAATTAGGTGGTCTTTTTGTTCTATTGATGGAGGCTTGAATTTCTTCTATGAAATGGGGATAGGGTTGCGATGACACCAGTGATCCTCTCTCTGCTAGGAGGGGGAAAAAAAAGTCTAATATATATTGTTCATCAAATTCTATATCATGTGGTGTACGTAATTTATGGATAACTATGAGGGTTCTTTTGGTAACTTAGTACCGACCCTCTTTATTGCTCCTTATAAAGAAGTGGATGCAGCATAAGAGGTGTCACAGTTGAGCACATTAAACGCTTCGGAAAAAAAAAAAAAAAAAAAAAAAAAAAAAGCAGTTCTCTTTAATCATCATCTTCTTCTTCCTCCTCCTCCTCCTAGTTTCCTATTCTGTTCTTTCGTTAATTTCTACTCTGGCCATAATTAATTTCCTTTCTAGCCAAATTAAGGTACGAAAATCACATATCTCATAATGGTTTTCTCATTCCGTTAATTCAATAACCATTATATATATATATATATATATATATATCATGATTATAACCGAGGACTAGTTTTTCAGTTTTATTCCCCCACCAATATTATATATATAGTGCTGTTTGCATATGTATATATGTTTTATGGTGTTGACCAAACTATATAAATCTTCTTTGATTTGTACATTGTTTCATTTTCCTTCGTACAATGGAACACATGATTAATGCATTTTTTTTTCCTTATCTTAGAAGTAACTGTTTCTAGTGTTTTATGATGTGGGGTCAACTAGCTTCTTCTTGATCTTATTACCATCTCAATAATTTCCTTTTCTTTTTCCTGATCAGATAAAGAATATACATCAGTCTTATTAATCTCCCTTTCCATTTGTACTACATGATCTAAAAGGTAATTTTTGATCAAAATAAAACTAGCTAGATTCTACTCATGATCATCTCTAACTTTTCCTAGTCATCTTTATCTCTCAAATGATTTAAACACAAATTGTTAAGGAGCAATATTGAGCTCTACATTCTCTCCTTGTGGTTTGGAATGTATTTCTTCTTCTTAATTCATACCTCATAAATTATGTAGACCACAAATATATTTGTATATATATATATATATATATATATCTCTCTCTTTTAACATATTCTTAATCTCCTTATAAAATGCATGCAAATAAAGTTCTTATATATCCATATTTCAGTTTTGTTCAACAGGGTTTTGTAGTTTTTTTTATTTAATCTAAAACTCAAAAACACCAAATTTAGTGAAATGGGTAACAAAAACATTTTATAAACCTTATTGATATTGATTTAGTGTTTTTTTTTTAGATATGGAGAAAATGAACAGTAATAATAACAACAACAACAGCATTGGTCTTCCACCGTCGGGATCATTGGCGAGGACAAAGTCCGACCAGCTGGTGGAGAAGGTGGCGGCGGCGTTTAAGTCTCCTCCGGCAGCTCAAAACGACATCGTTGCGGCTTCGTCGGGGGAGGCGGGCAGCGGGTCCCTGTTGAGGAAGTCGAGCCGGCGGATGGTGACGGCAGCGTCGCCGGGGAGGAGCGGGGGAATCGCGGCCAGCAAGAACACGCACATAAGGAAGTCAAGGAGCGCGCAGATGAAGTTCGAGCTGGACGAGGTCAGCAGCGGCGCGGCTCTGAGCCGAGCCAGCAGCGCCAGCCTCGGCTTGTCGTTTTCCTTCACCGGCTTCACCGTCCCTCCCGATGAGATCGCCGATTCCAAGCCCTTCAGCGACGATGATAACCGTAAGCTCTAACTAACTCCTTATTTGTTTATTTATTTATTTTATAATAAATCTTTTTTTTTTTTGGGCATATAATCAATCATTTGTAATTACTTTCATGTATCTCTTTTTTGCATTAATTCAATGTCCTTGAATTCTGAACTTTATGTCAGCTTGACCTTCTTTTTTTTTTTTTTTTTTTAAATATATATATATATATGTTGTACTGTTTAGTAAAATTTTTCGGAAACAATTTTTTGGTCTATTCGTCTATAATACTAACATAAAGTTTACGTGTTACCATCTATAATTGCATAAATATTTCAAATTTAAAATGAGTATGATCGGTTCTTGTCCTAGTGACACTGAGGAGTTTGTGTGGGATGAGATTTAAGTAAGGAGTTACGGGTTTAATCTCTTGTTGTATTAAAAAAAAATGAGTATGATCATGATAGTAATTGGTACGAGCATGACCGCGAATTAGGTAGTCAAAAACAATAAAAAGAAGAAAAGGGGCAACTTACTTGAGTCTTTTTCTTTTTCAGAGTATATGCTCAAGGAATTAAATTGTAAAATAGTGTAGCATAATAACATATTATTCCTTAGGTCTTAATTTTGAAAAAACTTACATGAGTTGTTGTTGTTTATTTTATTATTATTATTATTATTATATTTTTTTTTAACAATTTGATCGATACAATACATCATGTTCCCAGGTTCAGTTTTTCCTTCTTTTAGTATGTCATAATAGTTTTATGGAAATTCTATAGGGGGTAATTAAGATGTCTCAGTCTAAGTATAAATAATACTCAATAGTCAAATTTTCACAAGATTCTACTTTATCTGCATATTTTTCAAGTTTGAAATTATTCCTCTATGATTTAATGTTCAGAAAAAAAAAAAAAACAAATTTGTAAAAAAAAAAAAGGAAACGAGAAAGAGGAGGAGAAATTATTGCTGAATTTGGAGTGGGTTGTCTACCTTAGAAAAACCATATTCTGGGTAATGAAAGAAAGACAGCATATTGGTAAGGACTGGAGAAGGGAGAGTGATGAGGAGTGATTGATGTGAAAGTGAAAGGCATTGTTAAAATGAGTGAGAACCATGCAATTGCACGCCAAAACTTTTTGATATAATTCACTCATTTTTCTTTTCTTATATTTGCACTCGCATTTTCTAAGAAACAGCCATTTTATGACTTTAAAAAAAAGTTTTTGTACACAAGCCTATATATATATTCGTTTATATATATATATATATATATATGAGAAGAGTATATGATTTATAATATAGTTTTGTATAAATTTATTATTTATGTCATTCTAAATAATTAGATGTCATTGTGGTCTTTTATTTCACTTTATTACTTAAATGACAATTATTTATTTTTGAGTAGAGTGGTATAAATGATATTTTTTACCGTCTTATCTCAAGCGGTATTTTTTATATTTTTTTTATAAGAACAATGGCATATATGAAAATAAATATTTTCTTCATTAATAAATATTCAAACTTCTGGCCGCGACCAAGCATGGGCATGTTTTTGACTGGTCTGACGACAAATAAAAATGAGTCGTGTGTGGTCCCATAATTAAGAGAAAGTGAAACCATATATACGTGTATAGTTTTTCTTCATTTTGAAAGAGAAATTATGTATGAGTTAGTTCTTGGGTGGCAAATGATGGGAAAAATTTGGCCCCCCCAAAGTCTTGAAATTGACTAATTATGTAATGTAAGTCACTTCATTGAGCCGTTTAGATTCTTAATTTCATAGATTCTTCAACTACCTCTTTACCAACATAAGACTTTTGCTCATCTAGGATTGTTATGTGTGGAGATTAGATTAGTCAACACTTGTGTACTCTTGTTGGTAGAAAAGGGAAGAATCCTATTTATCTCTTGACATTTTTCTTTTGTTCTTTTCTAATAGTTCCAATCCCAAGTCCTAATTTAAAATTTAAAAAAATATATATATATATATATATTCTCGCACTTTCTCTAGCTGTTTGAATTAAGAGTTATGGGAGTCCCAAATTCTACCAAGAAAAATACTTTTTGGTTCTTGTCTTGTTTATTTGTTTGACTATGAAAGAACTTTAGGACATGAACTTCTATTGAAGGACATCAATGTTGAACATCTAAGAAGAAAAAAACATCTTGGTCTTTGGTCCTTACTACATCATATCTACAACTTGATCATTGCTTGGCACACAAGCCATTCTTTTGACAAGGAGCTATAATTTGAATATTGCAGCTGAAGATCTTGAAGCTGGCGTGCGAAAACCGCAATTTCAAAGTGAACCTACATTGCCAATTTATCTCAAGGTAAAGGAAAATTCAAAAAGGAAAAAAAAAAGAAGACAAAACAACAGAAAGAAAGAAATCACTTGCAAAGCTTTCTAAATCTGTAAAATGTGTGTACCGGTGTTCAAACCTCAAATGGTGGTCGATATAGTTCAAGAATTTGATGTGATACTATGTATTTGGACAGGCAAAGAAGGAGATTCATGATCTAGGCATCAACTACGGGAACCATAGAACATGGCTAGCAATATAGCAAAATTGGTCAGGTTCAGTCTTGTACGGAGTTTCATTCTATATGACTTTTGTGTACAAGACTTGCCCTTCTTTCCAGCCAAACAAAATATCACTTAGGACTTTTACACTTTTCAAAAAAAAAAAAAAAAAAAAAAAAAAAAAAACTAGTTTAGAGACCTGCATTAAGGCTAGGAAGGTGTCCTCATTTGTTTACTTTTTTTTTTTTTTTTTTTTTTTCCGAGCCCTGGGTTCAGAACCTAGTACACGCTCCGGGACGTTTAATAAAAAATAGTCACCAAAAGCATGGGATTGGAAGGAAGGAAGGGTACGGAAATCTGATACATCTTTCTGCAAAGTAGTTGTCTTGATTTTCATTGCAAGTGTCTGAAAATGTTTGAAAGAATTTGTTAGAAGAATAAGAAGAAGAAGAAGAAGTAAAGATTGAATGTTGTAAATGACTTGTTTAATTTGATCAAATATGCAGTTCACAGATGTGACATACAAGGTAGTAATCAAGGGAATGAGAGCAAATGAAGAGAAGGACATATTGAATGGAATAACTGGGGCTGTAAATCCAGGAGAGGTTTTGGCATTGATGGGACCTTCAGGTAGTGGAAAGACAACACTCCTAAACTTGCTTGGAGGGAGGGTAATCCAGCCAACTGTTGGAGGTTCAATTACGTACAATGACCAACCATATTCCAAGTTCCTAAAAAGCAGGTTAGAATCTTAAAAACTTGTTTATAAATCCCCATCAGTCGAGTTGCTTAATCTTCGTGATTACGGGAATAGCCTGGTGGTGATTCCACCCGCGAGTCCACCACAACGACTAGAGTTCAAATTCCCCACCCTCAAATTAAAAAAAAAAAAAAAAGTTTTGCTTAATCTTCTAAGAATAGACTAGTTTTCTTTAGAGAATCTGCATAATTGAATTTGAGAGGGGAAAAAAGGTTTCTATGATTTAGTCCTTAAATTGAGTTTCGTATACTTTACAAAATTATGCATATTTCATGTGAAATTGTGATGAGCAACCAATTGATGTATTGCAGGATTGGATTTGTGACTCAAGACGACGTTCTGTTTCCTCACCTGACGGTGAAAGAAACGCTGACATACACAGCCCTCCTACGACTGCCAAAGAGTCTGACGAGAGAGGAGAAGGAAAAACGAGCAATAGATGTCATCTATGAGCTAGGCTTAGAGAGGTGAGTTCAATTTTTTCCGAATATAAAAATTGCTACAAGCATAAACGTCACAGTTTTCCCAAGTATTAGACATAGGAAACTAAAACCAATGCTTATAGTATAATCTTTAAAAGCTAAACAAAGACTTTGAACATGAACAGATGCCAAGACACTATGATTGGTGGCTCCTTCGTCCGCGGAGTTTCTGGGGGAGAGAGGAAGAGAGTTTGCATTGGCAATGAGATCATAATAAACCCTTCTCTTTTGTTTCTTGATGAACCAACCTCTGGCTTGGATTCCACAACTGCTTTGAGAATTGTTCAGATGTTGCATGACATAGCAGAGGTATGTGATCTCTGCTTTGAGTAAAGCAGTAGATTGTATATACTTGTATTTGTCATTCAAAGCATCATTTTTGTTTCCTTCTGCACCAATTCGGCCCAAACTTATCAGTGTAAGACAACTTGGACCCCAAATTCTTAATTTTGACAAATGAGACCCTAAACTTGAAAATCTATACCAATTGCTGTCCTATAACTAACAGATGTCAATTAAGGGCATTCGTGCATTCCATAAGAATAAACTAATATGCTAACTTGTTATAATTACATGGCAGGCTGGAAAAACTGTCATAACGACAATCCACCAGCCATCGAGCAGACTATTCCACAAATTTGACAAGCTGATCCTCCTAGGGAAAGGGAGTTTATTATACTTTGGAAAAGCATCAGAAGCTATGGTTTACTTCTCATCTATAGGATGTTCCCCATTAATTGCCATGAACCCGGCAGAGTTCTTGCTGGATCTCGCGAATGGAAACATCAACGATGTTTCTTTGCCATCAGAACTAGAGGACAAAGTACAAATGGAAAACTCAGATGCTGACACAAGGAATGGAAAACCGTCTCCAGCAGTTGTCCATGAGGTAAATTCTTAAGCGCACACAAAAAAAAAAAAAAAAAAAAAAAAAAACCTCTTTTGGTAACTGAAAACTGAAACTTCCAAACAAAGCACTTACATTAGAACTCATGTATTAAATGATGTTTATAATGTTTGAACAGTATTTAGTGGAGGCATATGAGACAAGAGTTGCAGACAAGGAGAAGAAGAATCTTATGTTTCCTCTCCCCCTTGATGAAGAGATCAAGTCAAAGGTGTCGAATCCGAAAAGGGGATGGGGTGCAAGCTGGTGGGAACAGTATTGTATACTATTCTGGAGAGGGATCAAAGAAAGAAGGCATGACTACTTCAGCTGGCTGAGAATCACCCAAGTTCTGTCCACTGCAATCATTTTGGGGTTACTCTGGTGGCAGTCAGATGGCCATTCTCTTAGAGGCCGGCAAGATCAGGTGAAAAACAAACAGAAGCTTCTCAAAGCATAAAAGTTCACTAAAATTGCTATTCATGTCCATTCGGGTCAGTTCATGTTAGAAAAAGTATTCCCGAACACGACATGTTTATTGATCGTGTTAATTATGTCAACCTGATTATGACCCAAATTGTGACCCCAATCCCACATGCAGGCCGGGCTGTTATTCTTCATTGCTGTGTTCTGGGGATTCTTTCCTGTCTTCACTGCCATTTTTGCGTTTCCTCAAGAAAGAGCCATGCTGAACAAGGAACGAGCCGCTGACATGTACAGATTAAGCGCATACTTTCTCGCAAGAACAACAAGTGACCTTCCACTTGACCTGTTACTCCCCATACTCTTCCTTCTTGTTGTATATTTTATGGCAGGCTTGAGGCTCAGCGCCGGACCCTTTTTCCTAAGCATGCTTACAGTTTTCCTCTGCATTGTAGCAGCTCAGGTACGTTCCTCTTTTCATCTATAACTCATTCTTTCTCTCTTCTTTACTGCACTGCTTAGTGATAGATTTAAAGAGCAACTGAACAAAATAATTGACAAAAACACAGGGACTTGGGCTGGCTATTGGAGCCACACTAATGGACATAAAGAAAGCAACAACTCTGGCTTCAGTAACAGTGATGACCTTCATGTTAGCTGGTGGATTCTTTGTGAACGTAATCCACATTTTTTTTTTTTTTTATACCTAAAATTTCTTTTCGTACAATAGTTATTGACACATTTTTTGACATTACATTTAGAAGGCCAGTTCAACTTGTACAAACAATAATATATTCTCTTGAAAACCGCAGAAAGTTCCGGTGTTCATATCTTGGATCCGCTATTTGTCTTTCAACTACCACACATACAAGCTTCTTCTCAAGGTGCATTACGGCCACATCACGCTCGCTGTTAACGGACTCCAAATCGACTGCGGCTCAACTGAAGTCTTTGCCCTGGTAGCCATGGTTTTCGGATACCGATTCTTGGCTTACCTTTCTCTACGAATGATGAAGCTTCAATCTGGTGCTTAAAGGGGCTAACATTTCTCAGAAAATAGAAGCAGTTACAGATTTGGAAATTGTTCCGATTTTTCCGGCTCTAAGGCCTATGTGTGCTTAGACCCGAGTTTCATATCAACTAGAGAAAGCTAGTAAGGACTGAGCTGAAACTTCTGCATTCCGTGAGCTAAAGGATTTGTGAAGTTTCCTAATGTAGCAGGTGACTAATACGAGTAAAAATTGAAGACAAGCTCATCAGAGTACAATGCAAAAACATGACATGGAGATATATATATATATATATATTTGCTCAATATAAGACTAGAGTTAACAGGTGGTACTTGAGAAAGAAATTGCAGTACTTTATATATCAAGTGTAATTGACCAAACTTAATTGGTTGGTTCATTTAGCAACCGATTTCTAGAATTTTCTTGTCAATTGCAAGGATGGAAATGTAGCAAGACACAAGTCTTTGTGTAATCTCTATCAATTGATTGAAACAAAATAGTAATCAAAGTAATCCCTCTGTTATTCAAAGAAAAAATAAAACTGCCTATGTATACATTTGACCATCATATCCAACTCGGAAATAAGACCACTCTATAGTATTTTCTATACAGTTCTGTATACATATTTTCCTTATAAGACATGGATGAACAAAGTTTTATGCAGAAAAATTGTTGAAGCCAATGATTGGGCTCTTGATGAAAGAATGGAGAGATCACATTAAAGTACTGGAACCCACTATGTTTCACTTTGCAAGAAATCTATGCTTTTTCATGTACAATATTATATTTTTGTATTTCCTGAATGCTTCTTCAAGCTAATGTCCTCAACCAACCAAGAGTCCGAAGGAGGACAGTGTCCAATAATGGAGACTTCTTCTCGAGCCCTGTCCGAGAAAAAAGTCAAGTGAGATAAGAAGCTCTTAATAGGTATAGTAATTTTGTCTTGCTGTATTTCAGTTGGTGGTTTTGTCTTTCTATAATAGAATTATTGCCTAGAAAGATGTTGATAAAATTTAGGTACCACCTTAATCTTGCCTAACAATATGGACTAAATCATATACAAAAGTACGGCAGATTAATATTTGTTAGAAGATAACTAGAAATATCTCTACACAGTTGAATGTTCATATAGGTATTCGATTTACCAAGATCAGCAGCCACGCGGTGAGCACACATTACTCCTGAGAACGCTACAGCTATAACACCTTGTCCCGGGAAGCAGCTATCACCAACACAGTACAGACCATCTATGGCCTGCGGTTTTCATTAGTGCATGCAAATTTGATTCAGCGTGCTTTAAATAACTACAAAGCGTAAACCATCAACTAGAGTTTGAACAACTTACTGTTGTATTGAAAGGCATTCCCAACAAGCCTTTAGGAGTTCCACGCGGCATTGGTCCATAAGTTCCCTTGTCACGAGCCAGGTACCGCCTGTGTGTCTTTGGTGTCCCCACCTATCATGATAGGAAATATCTTTGTATGGAGATACCATTGTGGAAAACGACAAAGAGTGATCGGATTCAGAAAGCTCAGAAAAACAAAGCTGGGTAGTCTTAAAGTGAACTGCCAAGATAGATAGGAAGTAGAAGAGGCGGATCGAATATAGTCCAGAATTTGTAGAAAATCATTTGCTGGCAATGGCAGTCAAATTCATGCCATGGTTTTAGAACAGCATAAACCTTCAGGAGATCCAAAGGAACTAAAATTCAATACCAACACTTGTAAGTTAAAACACAATCTGATTATAAAATGTCGTTGGCACTTATAGTTGATTTGGTTTTAAGATTTTGTGTAGGTGGTTTATGAACATACAGGACTTTTCCCATGAATGAATACAATTAGTTGTACGTTGACATAGCACGATTGTGCAATTTTTTTCAAAAAGCTGCAGTATCATTTTCTAATATCAGTGTTCAACATTACCTCCTTAAAATCGATGGATGATAGCAGTCCTGGAAATAGTTTCTTCTCCAATCTGCTAATAATTTCATTTGCCACAAGCTCCTTCTTTTCCTCATATTCCTTTCGAGAAAGTCCCTAGTAAAGAAAAAATCCAGCTCAGTTCTCAGAGAAAAGAACACATTTCTTAATACTCGCAAACGGGCTGGGAAAAGAGGGCGGGTGGGGATTAGGAATCAGGATCAGTTAACTAATTATTTTCAGTTTTTCTTTTAGCAAAAAAAAAAAAAAAAAAAAAAAAGGGAAAAAATTTTTTTGCAAGAAAAACTTAGGAATAGGGATGATTTAATAAATTTTTTTTTTTTTTTTTTTTAAAAAAAAAAAAAAAAAAAAAAAAAAAGGGAAAGATATTTTCTAGTTTGTCTTCTAACACCATTAGAGTTACCTCCCAGTCCTCTATGGAAGATGTTGTAAATATGTGAAGAATATGGCGTCCTTGTGGAGCCAGTGACGAGTCGAGAACTGTAGGAATGCTTAAAAATATGCTTCCATATGGCTCCTCTAGTCTTTTCCAGTCACTCTAGAAATGATCAGGCACGAGAGAGAAGGGAAAACATCAACTAGTTGTTTGCATTCCAATGCACTAGAAATCTCCATCAGACAAGGCCACTTAAGTTTAAATACCTCAAGAACAAAATGATGGCAATCCGTATCTGGTGGCAGAACCTCAGCTTTAACTCCCATGTGAATGGAAAGAAATGATGGGGCCTTCACATAAGCTTTCTGAAAATTTTCTTCTTCTTTTGGTAGGTCATTTCCTTTCAACAGCTTTCCTGGATAAAAGCAATGATACAATTTTACAAACAATGCCAAGCAACCCAGAATAGAAAGAGCACCAAATATCATAATATATAAACTATAAAAAAAAAAAATCAGTGCTCCCAAAAAAAAAAACTGACCAAAGGTATCCCATCTAGTAGCATTTGATATTATGGTTTTGGCAAAGAACTCCCTCCCATCTGAGAGCCTCACTCCTACCTACACAAAGACTAAAGATCATGTAACTAGCAGAATCATCTTTTAGCTTATATTATCGATATTCAGCGACAGGTATCTAGGAGTAAAGTTGAACTCACAGCTCTGCCTTGGTCAATTATAATGTTAGTCACATTTGCCTTGTAAAGTATCTCACTTCCCTGCTCAACAAGGCCTTTTGCTAAAGACTTTGCTATTCCACCAACGCCGCCAACCGGGTAGTTAATTCCACCATAATGCCTATCACACAGGACCTGATTCAAACACATACAAGAATTTTCTCTTAAGGCCAATGGTCCTAGGTTTTGAGAAAGTGAAAGGTCCAGAAAATACGTCGAAAGCTTACCATGCCGGCATTTATCATTGGCGTCTGCAGAGCATTGACCGTACTCACAATAAAACACTGTATATCCACCAATTATCTCTGTGAGAAAAATGGGGTAGACCATTTGTGGACTCTCCAAAGGCCAAGAAATAAACAAGGAACATAAACTTTGCAACAAAAATTCAACAAGATCACAAGTGAAACTTTCACTCACCTCTGCGTCTATGAAAGACAACAACTGAGGATCTTTAATGTACTTTCGAGCTATGTCTCCGGCATTTTGAGGCAAATAGTAGGCTGCAGAGGATTATAGCATTATGTAAACTGCAAACTCATATTGGAATTATACTACGAATAATACCCGTCCCAAGTTCAGAATAAAAAAAACAGGACTTAACATGCTTTTTACTTATTTATTTTACTTTACTAACTAACCAGAAGATAGTGCAAGTAAGAAGATTTATATGCCAGCATCAGTAATTACCAAGTGTCAAGCACTCGAGAGGCTTCTTGAAGAACTGCCCGAAAAGGTAGATTGGCTCCTCAAGTGATTTCAGCTCCAACGAGTTCAAGGAATTGAAAATCTAAAAAACATGTTTACACAATTTTTTCAAAAATGCCCAGAAGAAGTTGCAGGCAACTCTAGGAGACAAAAGAAAGTATAGACCTTCCAACATTCACTGTAGAATTTAAGAATGCCTTCCTTTTCATGGGGAAATTTACTAGTAAGTTCGGCAATGAATTGGCTGTACTCTTTATGCACTCGCACGGATAGGTTGTTTGGCAGATTGAAATGGACTGTTGTTGGATCAGGTATCACTGGCATCTCACAACCAACTGCTTCCAGTGCTTGGGTTATCAAATTTAGATTACCCTGTTCAGTGTTCACATTAAAGTAAAGAGTTTAAAAGATTCAAATTCTCTAGTAACAAATGATAAGAGCAATGTTATATATACTATCTATCTATGTGTGTGTATTTATGTATATAAAACACGGCACAGAAATACCACAAATTCACTTTGTGGACAGGAGGAATTGAACCCCAAACTATATGGGAGCAAGAGCAATGAATGATCTTCACAGCTGTTCTTGACCAATTACAGTTTTACATGCCAACTATGGGCCCCACAGATCACTAAAAAGGACCTAAACATTTTCTTTATTTTTGATTAGTTAAAAGGATTAATTTTTCTAAGGCATTAATAAAATATATATATATATATGTATGTATGTATGTTAAAATGACACCAGTTTTGATAATTTTCTTTCATGTCATTGATACGTTAATAATCACCACAAGTAATAGTCTAATTACTGAAATTATTAAAATAATTTGACATGAGGATACCACGAAATAGAATTATCAGAATAAGCACTTCCACTTAAACTACATTTGGGATATATAACTATAAAAAAGTTCACTCATGTTCAACTCTTAGTTCACATACATATGAAAAAAATGATAATAATAATAACAAGAAAGAAAGGCCAGAACGCCCTGTTCAATTCGCACGTTCAAGTTGAAAATTTAAATCGAAAAGTGATTCAACAAGAAATATTGTAGCAAAAAATTTGAGTTGTGATTCAAATTGTAAAAGCAACGAGGTCTAGACTAGAAAACAGACCTTATCACTGAAACCAAACATGACAGAAGAGCCAACATCAAAAGTATAGCCATTTCTCTCATAATAACCAGAGCTCCCACCAGGAATCACATACTTCTCCAAAGCCAAAACCTTAGCACCCTTCACTGCCAGCTGTGTTGCAGCCACCAATCCCCCTATTCCCGACCCAATAATAATGGCATCATAATAGCATTTCTCTCCTCCTCCTCTCTCCACAGCTTTATCCAAATTCAGCACTGAACTTGACGACCTCACAATGAACTTGCAATTTTTTTGTCTTGGATTTGAACTTTCCAAGGGACCCACATGAAGCAACTTGCTTTCTGGAGTTCCAAGTGAGGAAATTCTGCGTTTTTGGCTTCTGGGTATGATTCTTTTCAACTGAACGCCATGGGAATGATGTTTGAAAGTAATCAAGTGGGCTGAGTTGTGGGGACTGGGAAATAGACAAGGGAAGCATAATTCAGCCATGGAAAGAGAAGAGAAGAGAAGAGAAGAGAAGAGCAAGAGAAGAGAAGTGGAGGTGATGTGACGGGTGGGTTAGGCAAGCTAAACCATTTATAATTGGTGGGTAATTGGGAGAGAAGTGAGTGGGGTTGTTATTTGTGATTCCACTCGGAGATTCCTCAAGAAAATGGGACAAAAAAGGCCACAAAGATTAAAGAGAGTGGGTGTTTTTAAGGTTTGTTTTGTTTACAGAACCGTTAGATCCGCCTCAGTTGGAATTTGCATTTGATGGCCCCTAGGATGGCCAAGAAGCTTACCTCACACCCTTGAATACTAGCAGTTGGGGGTTCCCAGGCGGTTTGGACAGTGAGTTAATGGATTTAAAATCATGTTTATTTGTATTTTTTGTGAGAAAAATATTATAGCGAATCATAAAATATTATTTGAATTATGATATAGATTTTTACTCTAAATGTAAGTATTTAATTTTAAATTTTTACAGTTAAAAGCTCTCAAAAAATATCACATTTAATTTTTTTTAATACAGTTAAAAACTCTCACATCTAAAAATTTTTAAATTTGCATGATTTTAGTAATTTGTTTCATAAATTTTTTATTTTGACAAATTGCTCACTTAATTTGTAAAATTGTTATATTATACTACATTTTAATGATGATTTTGTTAAATTAGTATAAAAAAAATGTTTAACAAAAAATTCTAATGTTTTAATTTAAATGTAACACAAATTTTTAAATTTCTCAACATTTAAACCCTTAAATCTAATAAAAAAATTTTGAAAAAAATATATAAAATGAGGTAAAATTACAACAATTTGTATAGGTTCGGGGTGTTGATTGTCAAAATTGATGTGGCGTTTGGTTCATAGATTCAAATCATGTGATTAGAATTATTTTCGATTTATGTGTATTTTTTGTGAAAGAAAATACTGTAGCGAATCATGAACCATTATTCGAATCAGGGAACGAATCTAAGTACCAAACCGAGTTGCTAAACCACGATAAATTCAGGGACAATCGTGCTAAAAATCTTTTTTTTTTATAATTTAAGCGGTTAAAGTGGTTTGATATTTTTGATAAAAATCAAGTTAAACTAAATCATTTATAAGTAGTTTGGTTCGGACGGTTTGATATTTGGATAAAAATTAAATTAAACTAAATCACTCATAAATGGTTTAGACGGTTTGCTTTGGGCAATTTCAGCTTAAAGCAAAAAAAGTTTTCAATAATTCACAAAAAATATAAAACTGTTAATCCATAAAAACAAAAATAGGTTCAAATTTACGATATAATTCAAAAATAACAAATGTTTAAAAGTTCACCATTTAAAGATTACTACAAACTCAAAAAAATATGACGGAGTGTATTTTATAAGTGTAAAACCTCTATTATGACCAATAAAAATTAACATAAATAAAAAGAATTTTAAAAATAAAAATTACATATGTGTATCTTTTAGCGGATTATTAGTGATTTTGACGGTTCAGGAGGAATATAATATTTTGCACATACTGTAATTATTTATTAAAATTTTCTATTATTATGTGATTATCTATGTTAAATTTCAGAAATCTTCATCAATTTTACTGTTAGAAATTAAAACTGTCAAAAAATAAAAATTTAGAGACTAAATATACTAAAATTAAAATTTAAAGATCACATTGTCAATATACTTAAAGTTTAGGGACTAACAAATTTAATACCGTAAGGTTAATATGTACTCCTAAATAAATATAGTAGCGTTATTGTTAAAAAAAAAAAAAAAAAAAAAACCCCTTAAGAAAGGAGTAATGTTATAAACTTATAATGATTGTCCATCTAAATGATATATAATATTGCAAGAGCCTTCGTGAGAAAGTAACGCTGTGATTCATATGCGTACCTCACCCAAGTGACCATATTCAAATAATTGCTGATTAAATGGAAATTTATGAGCATTTAAATAACACAAATGCACCTCGTTCTGTCAATATGAAACTCACCTCAACGGCTTTTCTTTTTCTTTTTTTACCTAATAAAAGTAACGAATAACACACAAAATCCAATATGGGATTTCCGATTGGTTATTGATTCATAAGGAATAATCACTAGTGAGTTTACACATGACATGAAGTTGTGTCTTGAAGGATCAAAGCACAAGTGATTTTGTTGGAATTTATTTTATTTTATATTTGAATTAATCTCATAAATAGTCTTTAAATTTTATTATTAATCTCACTTTAATCTTTAATTTTTAAAACTTTTTAAATTTAATCCCCACATAAGAGCATCTCTAATGCAATGATATAATTGATATGTCAATTGCAAATTTAACATTTGAATGTAAAAAACACTCTCCAATGTAATGTTATTTGTTGTGCCAAATTTCTCACAAAGTATAACATATGAGAAATTTAGCATTTGATTGCTATTCGTTGAAATGTCTGTTAATTCATGTAATCATTAAAACTTTTATGTTTTTTAATTATTTTAAAAATAAAAGTTTAGTTTTACAACTTTCAAAACTTAACAATTATGAAAGAATGTAAATTTAGCATTTCAAATAGCGTTATGCATTAGAATAAAAATAAAAATAACATACCATTTGTATTTTTTGATGTTAAATATACAATTGACATTAATATTAATATTGGAGATGGTATGATGTTGACAAAAAATAGCATTTAGCTGATAGAACACAAAATATGCATGTGATTATGACAAAAATTACAAAACAACACTTAACTAACTAAAAAGTAATTCATATTTTTGTTCTATTTTTAACATCTAACGGATGAAAATGATTACATTTAAAACAAATTGATAGATCAAAATTAAGTTTGAGACGTTTTAAAAATAAAAATAAAAAAACTAAAGTAAGATTGATAGTAAAATTTAGGGATTATTTGTAAAATTAATAATTTATATTTTTGTCTCTCATAGTTTATAAGTAACAAGTGGTATATATATTTCCATAATATGCATATCTTTGAATGCATGGATGGGATAACAAAACAATAAACAAAGTATGATCAATATTTAACTAACTCCGTAATTAGGAATAAAGTTTGATGAATCTTTAATGAGAAGAATAAGAATTTCATTCCAGAAAAGAAAGTAGAGGAATGTGATTAGAACATGCCTTCTTTGTTCGATTATTGGTATACTTATTTGGCAGTCAACAAAAATTGTAGTAAAAAACATTTTTATGAAAGTAAATTAACTAAATAACATATTTTAAAATATTTAAAATAAATAGCAGTATAAAGAAAATTAACTCCATAATTTTTTTTATTCATGACTAGTAAAAAAATTTTACCACATAAATTATTTTCTTTAAGACTGATAAAAATTTTTTTACCACATAAATTTTTAAGTTACTGCAATATGCTTCAAACAATTTTAAAATATGGTCTTTATTTAAAACTATAAATTTGCTATTTACATTATTCTCCGAATATAAAATTCAGTAGATGTCTATTTTTTTTAAAACAATTTTTCATTTAAACAAAGAAACAAACAATACGACGCAATGTTAATGACATATTAGAGGAATGTTATGTACACCTGAGGCCTGAAAACGGGAGATAACATCAGCACACTATGAGCGAGCACTTCTAAGGCTCAAATTGAAAAGCCCCTCTCACCAAAATAAACTTTTGAATTTTAGAGGGACAAAATACCAACTCCCATATGGAGGGGACAAAAGCAACACGACATACCCAAAGACCCACACTATCGATAAAAGACTTAACCAAGCGGGATACACAATTAAAGCCGGAAGATGAGGAAACCACTTATGCTATTACAAAATAAAGCCGAACACACAACAATGATCAATACTTAAGAAATAGCGACAACAACGCCTTTATTACACACCAAACACAAAATTAAAAATTAAAACAAAGAAACACCCAAAATACACTGTTCGAATTTCCAAGAGACAATCGGCTGCCACCAAGAAAGAGTGAGGGAGTCACAACAATCCAAACAATATGAGAAGATATCGAAAAGGGGTCGAGCCACCGTTTTCATCCGTCGCCCTAAGTAAAGGAGAATTGAAGCACCGATACGGCACTGAAGCTCTCATCTGCCTCCAAGCCACAAGAATGACCGCAACCACTCCACCCCCTCCACCGTCTTTGATTGTTGAGCTGCATACAAGCCCCTTCTAAAGGAGCCTGATATTAAGAAGACTCGTTCACGGTAGCTTCATACTCGTCAACAGACGGTTGCATAAAACTTCAGCTTTCAAAAGCTCGTTGGAAAAAGCCTCCCCAAAACCTATATCTCCCTCCAAACAAGACACTGTCAGAATTTCACTGAGAAAAGTCAAATCCGCTACATTTAGGCACCCTCCTACGGGGCCAGGAGTTTGGAGTACCGCCCAAGGTGGTGTTGGACTCCAACCCTTTAAAATCTACAGCAGAGACGACGTAGGGATGAGAAGGGAAAAAGAAAACCCTAGCGAGAGAGAAGACATTCTTTTTTATCCTTTCAGATAACTCAATGTATGTTTATTATCTTTTTAAGTGTTTAATTCGAGTTTACTGATCGAATAAGTTATTTGTTAGGATCATGATTTTTACTATAGTTTGAAATTGCATGAATCGATATTGGTGTTTGTATTGTCTTGATTTGATATATATTCTTATTTTCAAGAACATTGTGCCTAATTTTCTCTACCTTAGAAGTGGACGACAATATACCCATCATCGTGATAGTGGACCCCAGATGCGGTTTAACTTTTAACATTTTGTTCTCCATCTTCGCACGTGAGACCTACAAAAACATGACATGTGTGCAAACAAACCATCTAAAATAACTTGCCATTCTTTGCTCTTCCCACAGAAGGCGCGCCAACGAATTTGGATCAAATTTCATTTCATTATTATTCTTGTCTTCCCTTTAAATCGATACTCATCACTACCTCTTTATCCTCATATCCTGGGATTTAGCTTCTTCGCCTAGCGCTTTTCAGGTAAATTAATCGCATCTTTAATTAGCTTACTTGGGCATGCGATTTTCACTCTGATTTTCCGGAACTGAGTTTTTTTTTTTTTTGTCATTTCGACGTTTGATTGGAATTCTTTCTGGGTTTTAAATTCTGGGATTTTTCAGTTCCGCTGATTCTAGTACTCGGCACTATTTTGTTGCGTTGTTTGGTGTTTCTGCGTTTATGTGTTTGTTTTTTAATGTGTTAACAACTGTTTGGCTGCTCAGAAAATGGGAGAAGTGAACTGGAAATTTTGGTAATTGAGATATGATTTAGGAACTTTTCCAAACTGTTTGGATGTTTATATATATATATATATATATATATATATAACCTCACTCAATTGAAACTTTTCTAAACTTCATTCGTTCACAACCAAGCACCTTTTTTTTTTTGGGTGAGCGTGGACGTTCTGAGGAAGTTTTTAGAGGAGAATATCTTTCCGAGGTTGGGGAAGAAGCCATTCTCGGTGGTGTATTTGCACAGCGGAGTTCAGAGGAGCGAGAATTTCCCCGGAATCTCAGCGCTGCGAGCGATCTTCGATGCGATTCTGATCGGCGTCAGGGAGAATCTTGAGGCGGTTTGCTTTGTTCATCCTGGCTTGCAATCAAGATTAAGATTTATCTTCAGCGGAGGGTAAGAAAATAGGATCAATCAATTATCATAATATTTCACGAAACCACGCGTTCAAGTCAGTGATTCTCATTTATTTGCGTAAACTTTGTGAGAGAACCGTTAGTGAGAAATAAGAAAAACACTATAGCAGTATCAGTATCGTGAGTTTAAATATATTTGCCAAACATGCCCTCAGTTGTATTCAAACAAATCATCATCATTGTTTTTAATTTCTTTCAAATTTCATGAGATTTGATCATTAAAGAAACCACACACCCTTGCCGGTGTTTGATCCCGTATCTAATTGTCCGCGGCGATTTCTCTTTCTCTCCTGTTTATTGCTCTAACGAAATTCTAGGTTAGACACAGGTCAGTCAAGAAACCATTTTTATTCAGTTTCGGTTTCTTTCTTTTCAATTTGAATTAATCTACTCTGTTATTTTGCTTCCCACATGATCTCGCCACAATTTGTTTCGACATTTAAAATTTTCCTTGCTGTCTTCAAATATTGCAGAATCTTTTCTTATTTGTGATAAGAATGATGTCTGTTTTCATTTTTATATTTTCTCTGAATTTCTTTCTGACATATGTAATTTATTTTGGTTAGATTATGGCTTTTGTACGGTGCTTTCATTGATTTTTTCATATGCATTGCTTGATCTCCTAGTTTTGGTTTATGGTTTGTTGGGGTATGATTTGCGGTGTTGTTTGTTTGGGTGCTTGTCTTCTGTTTGGAGTTTGGGTGTTCTCATAATATTAGTTATCATTAACTTATTTACAGGTTCCAGTTTGTAATCGGACAATCATGGCTCGGCTTAGCGCTCCTGCCCGTCTCATGATAGTTTCGGATCTTGATCATACAATGGTAGGTCGTGTAATTGTTTGACTCACTATGGTCTTAGTTTTATTATCCTTGTGTTCTGGTTGAAGTGAACAATGACTTCCTTGCAGGTGGATCATCATGATCCTGAGAACCTTTCTCTGCTTAGGTTTAATGCCTTGTGGGAAGCGAATTATCGTCATGATTCTCTGCTAGTTTTTTCAACCGGAAGGTCAAAAACGCTGTACAAACAGTTGAGGAAAGAGAAGCCCATGTTAACACCTGATATAACTATAATGTCTGTGGGCACTGAGATAACCTATGGTGACTCAATGGTCCTGGATGATGGTTGGATTGAAGTTTTAAATCAGAAATGGGATAGGAACATAGTCACAGAGGAAACGGGGAAATTCTCTCAACTTACTCCTCAGGTATACACATGATGTTTTTAACAGTAGAAAACAAGTTGATCGCTGTCTATGACTGTCTAATATGTTGAATTCTCACCTGAAACGTTTTAGTAGGAAATTGAAGTGATTTTGATATTTCTGAGTGGTTGAACTTTATGCTGAATGCAGCCAGAAACGGAGCAACGACCACACAAGGTTAGCTTTTTTGTTGAGAAAGATAAAGCTCAGGCTGTGACGAAGGCTCTCTCAGAGGTTTTGGAGAAACGCAGGGTAAGATTTAGTTTTAACGCTTAAACCCGGGCCATCTTTGTTGAAATTAATTTTCTTTCTTAATTGCACTCATAGATAGCAGATCATGTTGTTCATCTTTATGTTATCTTATATTTGAATTGTTGCTTCCAATTTTGCCAGTTGGATGTTAAAATAATCTACAGTGGAGGAATCGATTTGGATATATTACCTCAAGGTGCTGGCAAAGGGCAAGCTCTTGCCTATTTGCACAAGAAATTTAAAACCGAAGGAAAGTTGCCCCTTAACACGCTTGTTTGTGGCGACTCTGGAAACGATGCTGAGCTCTTTAGTATCCCAGATGTACATGGAGTCATGGTTGGTAGTACTTTACCAGTTTATCTCTTTGCCTTGTTCCCTTAGATAATTCTAGCCTGCCATCTTTTTGGCAAACAAAACTTTTCTTCGTGAATTCTGTTCTTTTAAACATTAGTTCCTCATGCAGGTTAGCAATGCCCAAGAAGAATTATTGCAGTGGCATGCTGAAAATGCTAAAGACAACCCTAAGATTATTCATGCAACAAAGAGGTGTGCTGCTGGAATCATTGAAGCCATCGGTCATTTTCATCTTGGTCCAAATTTATCTCCTAGAGACGTTGCAGACCTTTTAGACTCTAAGCCTGAAAGTGTTAGTCCTGGCTATGAAGTAGTTAAATTTTACCTGTTCCTTGAGAGATGGAGGCGTGCAGAATTCGATAATTCAGAAGCATATATCAAAAGTCTGGAAGCAGATTTTGTACGTGCAAATCTTCCTTTCTCAGTGTTTTATTTGGTTTTTTTTTTTTAAATAACCGCATAATACCTTGTCAAAATTTTCATTTTGTTTAAGCTTTTCTCTGAATTTTTCTTCACATTCAGGCATGTTCTTCAACATACTTTATCATGTAGTTATTAAACTTCGGTTGTGCTTTCCTTGGGGATAGGATCCATCTGGTGTCATGGTGTACCCTAATGGTTTTGAACAATCTTTTTCTGACTCCGTAAGTGGATTGAGAAACTACCATGGAGATCAACAGGGAAAACGGTTTCGTGTGTGGGTGGATAGAGTATTTGCTTCACAAATCAGTTCAGACACATGGCTAGTGAAGTTCAATAAGTGGGAATCATATGGTAAGACCTTCGTATCTCTCTCTCTTGCTCACATATTATTCTTCAGTGCATATTATTGCATTTCCGTTAGCGCCCAATGACTTCTTTCTGGGGGAAAAAAAAAAAGGAAAAAAGAAAGTAAAAACTTATAGGCCCTGTTTGTTTCCGTTTTCAATCCCAGTTTTCACGTTTTTCGAAGTAAAAAATTGAAAACGCGTTTGGCGTAAGTTTTTTTAAAAAACAAAAACAAAACCGTTTTTGTCGTTTTGTGAAATTCTGAAAACGGATTAAATCCGTTTTTCATTTTCCATTTTCATTTTCTCCCTTCATTTTCTCTCTCGTGGAAGTCAGCCCCGTCGATTGCCGGCGCGAAGACTCGGCCGAAGAAGACGCAGGCCTGGGACATCCGGCGAAAGCCCACCGTCTACGCTCCTCTCCGACTGGCCCGCCATCATCTTCTCCGACTGCCCCCCGCCCCCCATTCTTCTTATTTAATATATTATTAATTTAAATATTATTACATGTTTTTAAAAATTAAACCATCAAACACAATTTTAGTTTTTTTTTAAACTAAAAACAATCTCAAAATAAAACTACCAAACGCATTTTCAGAAATGATTCTAAAATAAAAATAAAAACGTTTTTGTTTTCATTTTCATATAAAAAACAAAAACATTTTGGAACTAATTCCAAACGCACCTATAACATCGTTTTTATCCATTTAATTGAACATGGTGCCATAAAATACTTGATTTTGGTTATTTCTGGCATTTGTGGCCACATTTGAAAGACCGCATTTGAAAGAGAACTAATGAAATCTTTGCTCTATGGGTTTTTTTTTGGGGTTATTAAAGAACACGCATATTTAATCAATTATAAGGGAAGGGAATGGTATGATCTAAGATTCGAACCTCCATTTTGCCACTGTGTGTCTGAACGAATGCGAACCCCCTTTTAAAGAAAAAGTTATAAACACCTAAAGTTGCTGTCCACTGGATTGGAAGGGCGGAAAGGATACAATTCATATTAGTCAACTATATTGTGATAGCAAGTCTTCTGAGTTTAATTGGAATTCTCTGTTCAAGATTTCTCTTACATTGTCTCACACTTTGGTGGTATTTGCTGCTCAAATCAAATGAAATCTGTGCATGCCTAACTAACCCTCTATACCATTCTATTGGAATTCTGAACTTTCTGTAGGTGAAGAGAGAAACAATTGTGTGATAAGTGCTATTTTAAGGTCAAAGGTGAGATATATGAAACTGTTGTGGATTAATTTAATGCCATAGTTATTTAGGATTTGGCTCACGTGTCACCTCTTTTGTGTTCCCTTTCATATCCTCTGATAATATAATGTCACAGCAACTATAATATTTTTTAAGTTGTACAAAATTTTAATTGATGTGGCATGATATTTTAATTGACTTAGCATGACTTGATTGGAGGGACGTGAAAGGGGACGGGAATAAGGAAATACAAGAGTTGAATCAAGTAATTATTGCCTTTCAATTTTCTGAGATAAAATGTTTTTGCGTTTCAGGGTAACAGTGGTTTTACTTGGATTCATGTTCATAAGACATGGGTGGAATTACCCCAAGGCAAGGATTAATGAATTTGTTGTCTTAATCTCGATCAAGATTCTAATGCTGCTAATGCTGCTATAATTTTTGTTCATTTAAAATAAATATGCAGATGCGACTTTGTCATCTCTAATTTCAAGTTTTTGACAAAACATTTTATTGGTCACATGAAGGCAGTTTGCCATCATGATCCATGAATAATTACTTTTATATAGCAACATCAGAATTTCCAATCTTTTTTTTTTCTCCTTGTCCCTTTGCGGCTAATTACATGATCAATGTCCTTGAATCCATTTTTTTTTATCCATTATTTATAATGCTTGAAACAATATGAGTTCTAATTCTACCTTTAGAAATTAAGCATTATTCTCAATTTTATAAATTTTTACTTGCCAAAGGCTACATAATACATTCTCTGTAATACTGCCAAAACATAGGATTCAAATTCAACCCAAGATTATATTAGAGAACACTCGAATTGGTGGCATCTTTTCACCTGAAAAAAAATGAAGAAATCAAACGGTAAATCTTGGAGCTTTTACAACTAATTGTTGTTTAGTGTTCACTAGTTTCTTCTCGGTTTACTTTCCATCATTTGTCCCCTTTTGTTATCGTTTAATACTTGTCAGGTCGTTTTTAAGTTATTGCTGTCGTTTCATGTTTTAGATATCTCTTGTTTGGTTGGTGGATTCGTACATTGATTCGAATCATGGTTCGTGGTTCGCTACATTATTTTCTCTCATAAAAAATACACGTAAATCGAGAATGATTTTGAATCATGATTTTGAATTCACGAACCAAGTGTCCACTAATTTCGAATCATGGTTCGTGGTTCGCTACATTATTTTCTCTCATAAAAAATACACGTAAATCGAGAATGATTTTGAATCATGATTTTGAATTCACGAACCAAGTGTCCACTAATTTCTCAAATACTGATCATTTGGCTTTACTTCTAGAAAAACCATTCAAATATTCAATTGCTCAAAATGCATAGAATTCCAGATTTTCCCTACCCCATAAGACTTTTCCATAGCAAAAATCACCCCTTTTGGGGACAAAAACAAAACGACAAATACCCTTTAAAAATACATAGGTCAAGATTTTTTACCTTTCATAATCTTTTTAATTAAATAATACTAACAAAAAGATATTTATCAAGAATAAAAGATAAAAATCAAGCTCATACACTCTCAAAGATAAATTATCTATTTACTCATAAGACTTTAATTCCATAGCAAAAATAACCCGTTTTTGGGGCAAAAACAAAAGGACACATACCCCATAAAAGTACATAAGTCAAAATTTTTTACCCTTCATAATCTTTTTAATTAAATAATACTAACAAAAAGATATTTATGTAATGGGTAAAAATAAGGCTCATACACTCTATTTGTTTAAAATAAAATTATTGTTTAAAGGGCCCAACCGGGTTCGAACCGGTGACCTCTTGATCTGCAGTCAAATGCTCTACCACTGAGCTATGGACCCTTTTGTGTACACATGATGCATAAAACCATTATTAAAAATGATTATCAGTTTTATTGGATAGCCAAATGAACACTTTCTTTTCCCCGTTGAAATACGTATGCACTATAATGAACTTCAGCTCATTGAAAAGGATGACATTTTCTTTCCCAATATCTCTTCTCACTTGGGACATCAACATATTAAGGCTTCGTTCGTTTCGCTGATTCAAGTTTTAAATTTGAGTTTTGTTACAGTAAAAAGCTCTTACAAATAGTCACATCTAACTTTTTTGCTACAGTAAAAAGTTCTCACATAAAATCACATCTTAACTCAAATTCTAAACTCGAATAAGCGAAACGAACGAGGCCTAAGACTGTTTACTTTTTCCTAAAATCTATAATGTGATATCTCTCCTAGTTAAAGAATCCCCGCTCTCATTGCACTACTTTAGCACATGGGTCTCATTTAGTTCATCGTTTGGATTGTAAGATTTAATTTGAGTTGTAGTGATTGAAATTGTCATTTGAATCGATATTTGAATACGCAAATAAATTATAATTTATATTGAGAATAAAATAATGTTACATGAAAGAGGTTTTTATGATAATTTCCCAATAAACAACTAGAAAATTTTGACAAATTTTTAAGGTTCCGTTTATTTTATTGATTCGAGTTTAGAATTCGAGTTTTGTTACAGTAAAAAGCTCTCAGAAACAGTCACATCTAACTTTTTTATTACAATAAAATTATCTCACAAAAAATTACATCTAAATTCAAATTAAAAATTTAAATCAGCGAACTAAACTGACCATAAATATTGTTCATGCAGAATGGGCAGATGATTCACATCTAGCTTACCAAATAAGTAACATAACCAGACAGGTGCAGTAAACCAAGCCCCCACACGTAACATTCCAACATCAACTTTCCCACGTGGCTAGTCAAACGCTTACTTTATTGACACATGTGGCAAAAACAAAAAAGAAAAAAAAAATAAGATCTTCAAAATTTTAACAAATCAAAGAACAAGCCTTATCCACGTTTTTGCCCATTTCAAATCCAATCCATTGCATAACACCACTCTCTCTCTCTCTCTCTCTCTCTCTCTCTCTCTCTCTCTCTCTCTCCCTAACCATTTTGCTCTGGATCTGTGATCCATGGCTCTAAGGATCGTCTACGGTGTGGTGTTCCTGTCCTTCTCCTGTGCCTGCATCAAGATCCTCCATCTCATGCTCCACCCAGTCTTCTACTTCACCACCTGATCATCATCATTATCATCGTCAAATGGGCTGACCGGAAATGGGTTAGTCAGATTGTTTATGCTTTTTTTTTTTGGCATTTTTTTGGGTGTACTATGTATTCCCTTGGTGGGTTTTCATTATTTCAATGAAAATTACCCATGTTCGTTGTTATAGCTTGGTATAACTAAATTAAGAAAAGTATAGGCTTTATGTAATGGTTATGTAATGGGTTAATTGTGTGGGTTTGGACATATATATATATATATATATATATTACTATACTTGTAATTTGTGTGTTTCTGTTTTGTGGTATTCCACGAGGAATTGGACATTGTTGATGTATTATCATGGTGATACAATACCTTAATTTGATGAAGAAAATTATCTTTGAGACTGTCCTTTTAAAAGGGTATTTGAAAATGCCTTTAAAAAAAAAAAAACAGTTGAGCTCTTTGGTTTGATTTTAGAGATATTCATTTAGTTTTGAATGGTTTTTAATTGGTGAAGGATTCACAAATTTAAAAATGGCTTAGAATTATTGTCTTTTATAATATTTTGCACCAAATACTGCAATGTATCTAAAGCCTAAAGGTTTAGTCCAATTGATAGAGAAATAGAAAAAACAAATTGCATGTTCACCTGTAGTGAATGTTAGTGACCTTATATTGTACTGAAAATTTGGAATTTCTACATTTTTTTTTTCAAGTTTCTAATAGGCCTTTCAATCAAAAAGTTATTTTGAACCAGCGTTCAGCAAAACCTTTTTTTTTTTTTTTTAACCAAGTTGTGGGTTGCTTCACTCATTCAAAAAGAAAAAGGTGAATTATCAAAAAAAAAAAAAAAAGTGTAAAAGGGTGGTCAGCAAATGACATGCTCCATAAAGCATCAAAACGTTAACTTTACCAACAATTTCAAAGGAATTAGAAAGAAGAGGACAAGGCTCTCTTCTACTTGTCTCTCTCTCTCCAATTTTGATCGATGGGATGGGAGAGGAGTGAGAAGGATAAACTACTCTTCCCAATCCTTTAGGGATATTTATTTTCTATATTCGTCTTTAATTTTGAATCATAATTTGTAATTTGTTACAGTATTTTTTTTAAAAAAATACACATAAAACGAGAATGATTTTGAATCATAATTTTAAATACATAAATTAAACATTTTTTTTTTGTTTTTAGTATAAGAGTCTTTTCTTTTTTCTTGTTTCCTTCTTCTTTCTTTTCCTTCTACTTTTTAACTTTTTCTTTTCCCAGGCCCGTTCTTTCCTTTCCTTTATCACCATCACCCCACGGCAAGAACATACCTCTCTTCTTGACCAAAATGAAATCAAACCAAAGCTCTCGTCACTCTCATATTAGTGAACAACAGAGCATATCCACAATATTAAGAGGCCACTTTTTGGTTAAATTAATAGCCTGTTTGGGTGGAGGGTTGTGCTGGGTTTGAACCCAAAAATGAATCAAAAACCTTATTTGGTTGCATAAATTTTGAACTTGAATCTGGATTTTAGGTTTATTTTAACTCAAAATAAAGGTTCTATAGAACTTACCTTCTCAAAGTTCTTTAGGTTAATTCAAAATACTATTTCTCACTCACATTTCTTAAAAATCTATAGTTCTAACAATGTAACCAAATACTGATTTAAATTTAGATCTTATACTATTAAACATCAATTTGAATCACATAAAAACTTATAAATAGGTTTAAATTCACAGGTTTAAATTCACACAATTTCAAACTCGCGAAGAGAACTTAGCCTAAGACTTAGGCAGTTAGCTTTAGTCGGACTAATTCGCATTCTAATTTTGTCATGTGTTTACTTATAAAGTGAATAATGAAATTTTAGTAGATCCTTGATAATATATGAATGAGTAAAGATAATACCACTATTTGCATATATTGATTTCCAATTGAAGAGAATGAATATCAAAATTTACTTAAGTTTATAATTATTTAATTATATAAAAGAACAATTTAATTATTATATTGATTCAATTTTTATTCCTTAGTATTGACGGCAAAAACTGATCAACTTTATAGGAATTGAATCCCTAGAGTGAGATCCGATTCAAAAAGATCAAAATACCATCAACGAATCCAAATAAAGATGAAAGGAAAGAGGAAACACAAGAGTTTAGAGTAGTTCGACCTAATATGACCTATATCTATTATGATTTTCATTGAATTTTTGAAATTACACCTTCAAATTCTCTCTTACATGGTCTCTTAACATTCAAGGTAAGAAAAAAATGTAAAAAAGTATTCTCTGAGAGTGAGGATTTGAACCCCCTTATCTGCTTCCTCTTTTCATAATTATAGAGATTCTCCTCCCTAGTAACTATCCCTCGTGGATGTAACCGTCGGTCGTGAGTGTAACCGTCCTATCCACGTTCATCATTTCCACGTCTCTTGCTCTTCTCTTAGCACATGCCTTATCACTCTTTCACAACCATGATTCAAATCTATTGGGAATGGTGTCCTAGAAGTATGAGATGTAATAGGATATTTAGTATTTATTTAAT